CACCACGATAATGCACCTGCACATTCCGCCAGAATCACTGAACAAAGGATAAACGAACTTCGCTTCTAATTAGTTCCACATCCAACGTACTCACCTGATTTGGCCCCCAGTGACTTGCACCTTTTTCCAAACCTAAAAAAATTCTTGGCTGGAAAGAGATTCCACTAAAATGACGAAGTCATCTCTGAAGTGAACGAGTATTTTGCACACCTTGACAAATCGACCTATTGTGATGGCATAAAAAAGCTAGAACATTGCTGGAATAAGTGCATTGCTAACAGAGGAGATTACATTGAAAAATGAAAAAAGTTTTAACATTATTTTGTTTGTTTTTCTATGTGAGGCTGCGAACTTTCCGAACAGCCCTCGTATAAATGACAAAACAAAAAATATTTCTATGTATTTTGTTCCTTTGGTGCTAAGTTTGTTTTTTCAATATGTAAATAATAAATACAAAGATACAGTAGAAAAATCATTTAATATAACTTATAATTTAATAAAAATAAGAAACTATTTCTTTACTGAGGATGAAAACTAAAACATTTTGAAACTTAATTTTAACAACAGTGTTGCAACATTATTAATCAAGTTAGTAAATTAACTTTTTAATTATAACATGAGTTTATCAAAGATATATTTTTATTTCGAGATTTAAAAAAATTTAATTATTTTTATCTATTTTTTGTTACTGTAATATCATTATAAATTGATAGTAGTTTGCTTCTTAGGCAATTAAAATCACAATAAAGTTTTTCAAAATTGGTTATAGAGAAAATTTCTTAGATAATCAGAAAAACATCTAAATTTATATTTAACAAAAAGATGGCAATACATGATATATTAATGAAATCAATAAATTATATTTAGGTAAAAGTTTTTAAACTAATTAAAAATATATTCTTAAAAGTAGTTGGTATGAAAATATTTATGTTTAGTAAAAGAATAAAGATATTGAAAAAATAATATAAAATTAGTGTGTTTTTGAAATGTTACCTTTTAGAGTAACTATAGTTAAAAATAGCTGCTTAAATTTTTTTCTTGTTGATTTAGTTTAAGAATAATTATAATAAGTTCTTCAACATGATATATTTTTAAAGATTGATGATTGTGAAGAAAATGAATGTTTTATTGCTGAACAACCGTTAGAAGATCAGTTAACTCAAGTACCTCCTCCTCCTCCAGAGCAAACATCAGAAAAATTAGAACCATTTAAACAAACCATGCCTAATTTTCAGGTAAATTTTTCTTTATTTAATGTTCTTTTATTATTTTGGTCATAAGTTATATGTCGATGTGAGTTTTACAAATGTTATAAAAGCTGCTATGACATTATTCCAAGAATTTATAGTAAATTTTTTATGATGAAATTTTTGTACAGGCAGTCCATTTGTTAGTGTAATATCATTTAATATTACATTTATTTTTTAATAATTTTTTATCATTTATTAATTTGATTTAGTTTTAAACTTTATTGTTTTCTTTTTTATTAATAATTGTTTTTATTTTACCACAAATGAACTTATGAGAAGAGATAAGAAATTTTGTAGGTCAATAAATCCATAAAATTTTTAACAGAATTTATGTAATTATTAATTCAGGAAAATATGCTAGGTTGTTGAAATAAATAACTGTTTTAAAATGTATATTTGAATTATTGAAATCTTTGTTTTTTCAGTTCCTTAGAAATCATTTGTAAACAATTTTAATAATTTTTTTCTTAATATCTAAATTTTGTTTATAAAATGTGATTTTTTTTTTCAGTTAATTTTGTGATAAATAATAATAATATGAATAAACTTCTAGTGCAATGTAATATAGGCCAAAAATCACTTTCTGATATTAGTAGACTATAACTTTTATAAAAATCACAAACTGCAAAACAAGAAATTGTTGAAAAAATGTATAATATTGAGTAAATACAGAAGAATTTTTGAAGTCTTCTGTGATTGTGAATGAATATTTAGAACACAATTAATCCTAGTAGTTGTAAGCTCATCTTCATCTATGTTTATTGCAAATTGTTTAAAAATTTCTGAGGCATTGGTTATTTGTAAAAGTCACTTTGTAAAATAAAGATTAAAATATCTAGGATGAAATATAGACTTAAAAAATTTCTGTATTTAATTGTCAATATCATATATTTTTTAAATATATTCTCTATTTTACAAAGAGATTATTACATGCACAAATGGTATCTTGTATTCCTAATGACTAATTTTGAGTGCTTCAGAGTTTTAATGCTAAATTTGACAAAAATTTGCTTTAGAATTCAAACTGCACATGTAGTGAAAAAATGTGCTTGAAGCATAAATTCAATCTATTGTGCCAAGTTATCTCTTGCTCTCACATTATGCTTGTATGTTTTCAGTGTGTTTTTTGCTTTATTTTCGGTGTGTTTGGTTATTTATATTGTGTATTACTCATTGATTTTTAATAATTTTTTCTTACAATTTTTCTTTGATGACAGCTTTGGGTGTCTGATGGGTTTTGTAGTTTTTAGTTTGAAATTTGAATGGAACTTTTCAAACCACATTTGACATGGTCAAAGTTTAGGAGCATATTCCCCATACACATTATGAATATTTTTAATATAAAAATAAT